CTCGCCTTTTTTTCGCGGCCTGCAGCGTCGACACTGGCGATGGTGGTGTGAGGATAAGAACCGTTCGTGGTCCGATCACCTTTGAGTGGAAATCACTGCGCTCGTCGATTATTAAGGCAAGCCTGGAGGGAAGAACGCACTCTGAGACCGTCAAAGGATTTTCGCAAAATCCGCAGAGTCCAAACCTTCGTATAGATATCCTTAACTATAGCTAAGTGCCAGGTGATCCAGACTCTCTAAGGCAATCTTTCTAATTATAACTGAATGCCTGTACTTACCCGAAAATCTCGTTTACTTTACTGCAGGATTACGGGGAGCTCTTGTCATCCTGCATGCTGCAGGATTGACCTGTACACTGCAGAAAATCCCATTGCTTCCGTGGTCGGTTCTCACTGGGCTTGAAGCTTGATGAATCGAAGATAGTCGATCAGCCCAAGAGCAAAGCTGCACACCACTTATGATTGTCGACGACTTGGGCGACTGGCTCTGGGCTGGCTGCTACAATGGCAACATAACTCTGGAAACAAAGGCCTACATGCATTGTTATCCCCGGACACCTACTGTGTTACCAACATTTCAGATCCTATAGCTCAGCGGTAGAGCGTGTGATTCCAGCCACGGAAATTCCACAAGGTCTTCCGTTCAATCCGGGATAGGATCACTGTTGACAGAGGACATTACTTCTTTTTAAGATACTACAATACAGTCTAGAATGGCGACTGAAAAAACGGTCAGAAATCAGAATTCAAAAGTGGTACGCGAGCCTCGAGGCGTGCACGGCACAGGCGATTCGGCTCTCAAGCCCTTCGAAGGAGCCTCACAGTGAGGATAATGAGCATTGAGACCTTTTTTAATCTTATACATCCCTATATGATATACCCTTGCCGTTGAACGTTGAATTCATTATCCCGAGGTGTGGAATCTGCCATCTGGATTCTGGATAGATAGAAACGGATCACCAAATCGGACGCAGTACTCGATCGGACCGACCGCGTCTTGTCCACATACCGCGACGAGCTATGCTTCAATCCAGAGGCGGGCCTTGTCCCCTGATATCTCTGGTACAGCATATTCGGTTTATGTCGCATGTTAGCAAGCTATCTCCGAGGCATCCTGCGACCCGTCAGAAAGAATGGTGTGCATGGCTGCATCCAATGTTGTCAAGCTAATTCGTCTAGGAAGTGCAAAGCCATATACACGACCCTGCATCTACCTTTGGGACTATCTGCAAATGACTACAAGGATACGCGACGACGAGGCGAAGTCCTGAGTTCTCCGGATGTCTGCCGAGCTATTGTCGAGCGTTGGGAGCGTTTGGATCCCAAGCCTCAGAAGACCATTGTCTTTACACATACCACCGGACAAGCGATACAGCTAGCTAATGCCTTTCGCTCGCGTCCTCAAAGAAATTCTCGTGACAAGAAGCCCCATACAAGCATCATACAACCAGACGACGAGCACGGATTCGAGCCCTTCCGGAGGGCTGCTGCTGGAGTGGACATATTCCTGACAGCGAGGAGGGAATACAGGGATGATTTGAAGCAAGCGAACTGTGTGGTCGTTGCCCAGGCATTGACCGTAGAAGAGGACGATTTCCTAGACATGGTCGCTGTTGGGAGCTATAATAACACAGAGTCAAAGGACAAAAAGTCGACTGCACTTCTCCTTGTGGACTCTGCGCCCGCTTCAGATGGTGACTGTCAGGACACACTCCAACGGCGCCTGGGATTACCGCTCGACCGTCCAATTGCATGTTCGTAATTGTGTACTAGCTTTTTGCATTCACCTGTGCTTACATTTGATGATAGCCGCCGCTGGGAGATCGCTCGTAGCCGATACTCGCAACGAGTTGGACCTCACGAAGGAGGACGCTCTCCGAGTTTGGATTATGAACACTCTTTCAAGGCTGTCTCGACAAACTCATGGATTCGACCGCTGGGTCCAACTTTCCGATAAGTGGGTGCTTTACCTTGGGCGTGACGGATTCATTAAAGCACGCCTGTTACCACTCCTACCAGGCGAATCAAGTTAGTGTTGCTAACTTTTGTGGAAGCCTCAGTTTAATCAAGTTACAGAATCGACACTCGACCGCTCTCTGCAGGTTTCTTCCTATACCCATTCGCTTGATATCATCCAAACATCGCCCCCTCCGGTCGAACAACGACGCTTCCTCATTCGGGACATGTACACCCTTTCACATACACTCAAAACTTGGATCAAAGGCCGTATTCGCGATACGTACGTCCAGAGCAAGACATACATGTCCATTGTCTGATTTTCAGGTAGAACGGCTACCAAGCGATGGGTCACAGACAAGATGCATGCCGAGCAGATTCGAACGCTCCGCTTGTTATGGCCTTGGGAGCGGGAGGACCAACCGCTACTCGAGCCTCCCACATCCAAGCAGTACAAGATGGCGAAGAGGCGACATACCCAGGCATATGTGGTTGAGGCTCTCACTCTCGAGGAAGAGCAAACGGCGGCTGCCTGGGCTGAGGCTGAAGCGAAAGGCGACCGATGGCATACACCTATACGACCTGGGTATATGTCTCCGCACGACTTGACGCACTGGATGAGTGCGTCGCAGGCTGCAAACGTGATTATGCAAATCAGGTTCGGAGTGTGTATTCTGTTTCTTTCGGTCGGGTTGGGAAGATCCTGACGGCTATGCAGAGTCCGGAAGAGCTGTGGTTCCCTGAATTAGTGAAGAAGGAGTTGGGTCGCACAGTTGCCAATGCCATCACAGTACGTCTATGATCTCGGCCCACTGACTTCGCCTCAATCTATACCGTTTCAGGTATGGCGATTGCAAGAATGGCAACGACTAGGGAAACGACGGTCACGCCAAAGGACCAAGGAGATCAAGAAAGGGATTGTGAAGAAGGCTCCGCTCCTCAAGGCAATAGAAGGCATACAACGCGACAGGGAAATGGCAACAAAGCAAGGAGTGCAAGAGGTGTGAATAACTCCCAGAAGCCTTAGCACACACCGTGCATTCATTCTTGATACCTCAGCCTATGTCGCCAACCAGGCTTGCTTCCGTGTACCGCCTACGGTGAAGTCAAGTTCACGTACTTTCTTCGGGCTGAAGAGGTGGATCTAACAATGGACATGTCCTAGCCCGCTGACGGTGCAAACGAACAGTTATGGCAAGACCGATTCGTCTGGATTCATACATTACTTATCTATTAGTCTAGTTACTCAGCAACGCCTTCTTCAGTGCTTCCACTGCCTTGCTTTTCTCGCCATCCTTGTCCAAAGCTGCCCTTCTGAGCTTGTATCCGATTTCTCCCACACTCTCCCGTACTGCTGTGTACTCTGCCTCACCATCTTTCGTGCAAGCAAGACGGAACAACCGCTCCAATTCTTTCTCGTCCACCAATGTCGGGTGCGGCTTTGAATGATCGAAGGCTGTTTTGAGGTTGACCGACAACTGACCAAAGGAGAAGCCCGAGGCATACATCCACTTGGCATTGAAGAATTGGTCGGCGAATGTTGGCGAGCATATCATGGGAATACCGGCGAGTAGCGCCTCGGTGAAGCTACCGCATCCAGCATGGTTTACTGCCACTCGGATTGACGGATGAACGAGCACGTCGAGCTGAGGTGCCCACCTAACGGCGAGGAACTTGCTTGGGTCTGTGGATGGCAAGACGTCGGCGACTTCAAACCGGGGGGATCGGTTGACGAGGATGGTAGGAATCTCCAGACGCTGAAGTATGTCGTAGACCTGGCGCAGCTGGTCCTCAGAAAGATACCCATTGCTTCCAAGAGCAAAGAAGAGCACCGAGCGAGGAGGGTGGGCGTCCAAAAAGCGAGTGCACACTAGCTGCTCGTCTTTCAAAACCGCGATGTGCTTCTCTCGGGCTGTTTCGTCCCCATCTGCTGCTCTGAGGAACCAATCTGGTGAGAGGGGTCCGAGGTAGTATGCAGGCAGGTGGGAGGCAGGCGTCTTGAGCGCGTTCCTGTGCATCTCACCCTCCAGCACGGTTGAGGTATTTCCGAATACCACCCCAGATCCCTTCCCAATCCCCAGGACAATCTCGCGAACATGCGGCTGGAGGTTGTCGATGATCATGCAATCAACGTTGCGGACGTCGAGGGTCCTCCCATCTTTCCCCACGAAACCAGCGATGGGAACAAGGCCCTCTGGATCGCTGGTGATCTTGTCGGGAGTTACATGCGAGAAGAGGTCGTAGTACGTCGAGGCGCCCGTGCATGTTGAGTAAAGCTTGAGACCGCGTGCCAAGATGTTATCGAAAAGGGGGGCGAAAAACATGTCGATAATGATCGCCTTGAAGGCGTCGGCGCCATAGGCAGCAGTCACCTTGTCGAGCGCCTTGTATGCCACAGCGCGGAGAGCAGTTGGGGAAAAGAATAAACCGATTTGCTCGAGGGGAGTGAGCTCCATATCTGTCTCCTGGAAGGTTTCGATGACAAGGTTCCCATCGAGAAGGGGAGCCTCGTCGAGTCCTGCGCTATGGATTTGCTCCTGGAAATACTTGCGACTATGAACGAGCGCATGGATGGTGAAAGTATCGAGCAGAGGGTATATGGAGTTGAGAATTACAATGACATGGCTTGTAAACGCTCCAGGAAAGACGAGGAGACGAGGCTTGGTCGACGTGGACATCGTGGTTATAATCAGATGTATCGAGTTGTTTCAGTCACGCAAAACGATAGGTCATTAAAAATATACGACCAAAAGCAGTTTGTCAACATGAGCTTTTGAGCCTTGACCCGGTCTTGACTATCCATTCTGGGACCACGGCCCGGGCCGCAGAGTGTTTGTTAATGAATATATTCACGCATGCGGGACCCCATGGGGAAATGTGCGACTTGGTAGTGGTGAGTCCCACTTTGAGAGCTTCATTAGAGAGGGTTAGAGGTTGCACAAGGTGCTATCGGTAGTGGGAGCACTCACCAAGTTGTTGGCTCACAGCCAACTGTATTGAACACGGAATATGGCGCAAGGGCCGGGCGATCCGTTTCGTGACGTCACGCGAAGGCGAAATATGCTTTGCCTTTGAACCGCCAGGATGGTCGAATTTAACTGTCAAATCCGCACAGGAGCAGCGTTCAAGTGTCGTGGGAATCATATCGACGCTTGTATCAAGGCGAAACTCTGGTTGTGGCTTCCCTGAGGCGATGTGATGCCCAACGAACCACTTGACCACCTACCATCATCTTCGACTTGAATGCAAGAGTTCCGCCCCCCTTTATCGCGCCCCATCACAACCACGACCAGCTCTGGCGGGTCGGATGTAACCATGTCGCCCTCTACACCCCAGCGGATCGTCGTAAAACGAGTGTCGTTGACCTCGAAGAAGAACTGGTGGATGGGTGCGTGCCACGCTCGGAAAATGCAATTTAAGTCTGATTTTTCCTCTTTTAGTGGAAATGAACGAGGATGGCGATGACCATTTGCCACCAGTCTACCAAACTAGCATCCACGAGGAGTTCGCGCCTGCGCAAGAGTCGCGGTACGCGCATAGGCACTATCCGCCATCCACCTATCACAGCGAGCAGCGCATATTGGCAGAGTCTCCCCCAACCTCTCCTCCACAGGGCCAGCAGCAGAGACACCCCAACGCCATCTTCTCGTTTCCGACACCCACTGCGTACTCTGCACCTCCCAATCCCTCTGCCCACTTGTCCCCA